TCCCACTCCCAAAATTGCTCCTCTCGTGTCGCCGAATATCATCAAGCGGGGGAGCAACTTGGCCGCGGAGGTCGGGTAGATGAAGGAAGACGCAGTGGTGGTTGCGGCGGGCTTGGAGTGGCGGACACGAGTGGTGGACGTCGGTGGCGGCATCTACGGCGAAAATCCAACGGATCAGCAGCGCTGAATCGACGGTCGCTGAAGAATCTGGAAGCCGACAGTGAATAGCCTCGGTTGGCGACGCTGGGGGCGGAGCTGGCGTGGATTTTCTGGCGGGGACGAGGGACGCGCGCGTGTGTTGTGTGTGTTGCATGTGCGTGTTGTGTGTGTGCTGCTAGTGTGTTGTGTGTGTGCTGCGTGTGTATTGTGTGGGTGCTGGTTGTGTGTGTGAAAGAAAGTGGGTCGGTGGGTCCCACGGTGAGTGGATGGATTAGGGTGATTTTGTGTTGGGTGGGGCTTACAGGTTGATTTGGTATGAAAATTACCACACTACCCTTAATGAAAATATAACTTTGACTTTTTTAGTCATTAGATCATCCAATCTAATGCCTACGATGTGTTCTTATTTATTTCACTGAACACAATTCTCACTATGAGGACACCTCTTAAAATGAGACTCAATCACAGGCTTCACAACCTTTGTGTTCATCAATGGCTCATATTAAGTAATTGGAAAATACGTCGATTATATAATAATAAAATAATTATTATATTAAAATTAAATATATAATAAATAATATTTTAATGCCGTTGACTGACAGCCATTCTCCGGTGACCCTGTTTTCCGGCGATTCCGGCGACCACATCCCAGCGCCTCCAGTCCGGCGACCTCATCCCAGATCCTCCAGTCCGGCGACATCATCCCGACCTCAGTCCAGCCTCCGTCCGGCCGCCATCCGTCTATGTTTTTTTTTGGCGGACCGACTTCAGCCCCGGCGCAGTTCCAGCCCCTCAGTCCGTCCCCGTTCATCCACCACCCTTCGCTGCATGCAAAGTGGCTGGTCAACGGGCGCTCTTGGACACGCTCGATGGTTGAAGAAGCTGCTGGAATTTCAAGGACATAATTAAAATTTTGGCCTAATTATTTAACCGGAGTGGTCTTTAGCTTATCGAGTCAGCTGCAAATTACATAATTAATTTGTTATTTTTAAATTAATATCGATAGAAGTAAAAGAATTATTTCGTTTATATATTTTTTTTCAATCTCAATATTAAATATTTGTCATAACAAAACAATATATGAAAAATAAATCAATTATATTCACAAAAATAAATATATGTTATTTAAAAACAAGTTTGAGTCAACTGGGTCGGCCGCGCAGATTAATAATTCGATTGATTCTAATCACCGAATTATTAGTACAATAATCCGATTGTATTATGAGTCACTGTGTTCTGTATTGATTTGGTTGGCCCAAATTTCAATAATTTGTGATTTTTATTATTATTTAAATGGATCAAATGATGATGTATTATTTGTTAATATTATATAACCGGTTATCTTTATTTAATTCATGTATACAAAATTACTCTTGCTTCCCCGCGTGATCCACTGACATGTACTAGTTGGCATTGCATCTGTTTCAAGTTCTGCATGTATGTGTATTTGTCAGCGGTTTTAGTTCATAGTTTTTGGGTTAATAGTGTGTTGGTTGTTTGGTTTTCGCCTAATAATGTCTGGTTGTTGATTAGGTCACTAACTAATCAAACAAATGTTGAGTGTGGGAGCTAACCCAACTCATACCCTCTCGAATTTAAGTAAAATAAATAAATAACAAATGATTATTAACCTTTTTGGTCTTTATCTCATTGTACTTGTTGGCTACTCAGCTTATGAGCTTGAGGTCACCAGCGTATAATATATAAGGATGAATTAGGTTAGAGAATGGTTCTCAGTTAAAAAAATAAAAATATATCGTAGTCATCAGATCATATAATCCAACGATCATAAAGAAATAGAGTTTTTATACTAGTAAAGGGTATATTTGATATTTTATCTCTCACCAACATCATGTGGGCCCCACGACCCACCCAGTATCTCTCTCGCCATGTGGACCCAACTGATTTCCTCACCAAAGGTGACCTTCCCTCCCTATCAGGGTCGGCTCCTTGGGGAGGCAGTCTAGGCCCATGCCTAGGGCCTCCCTATATATTTAGGGCCCCATTTTTTTTTAATATTATGTATTTAGGATAAGTTTGGCTCATTATACAAATGAAGGGCTAATTAATGAATTGATTAATGACAAAATATATACTTTGTGTGAAAATTTGAGGCCCTAAATATTTCATTTGTTTTTTTATGATATTCAGTTAGAATAAATACTATTTGCAGTTATATGGTTTTTATTTTCTTCTCGTTGTTGTTCTAATGACTACTTGAATGTAAATTATTAAAGATATTTGTAACTCATAGGTAATTTATCATTTCCAAGGTCTAGCAAAACAAGAAAATTATTTTTTAATTATTTATTTATTTATTTAATAGTCTTTTTTAATTATGTTTTTTTCTTCTATGATTCTATCTACAAATAGTTAATTACCACGCAAGTTCAAATCCGGAAATTCAAAAAGGAGAAACTTGTCTAGGGCCTCCAAATTTCTGGAGACGACCCTGCTCCCTATACATACTTTTGGCAATGTATTTATTTCTCCCACCGCCCGAGCCCACTTGGCCCTTCCTCTTTTCGTGGGCTGACATGGGCCACTTCCCCTTCCTTCGGCCAGCCGCCACCCTCTCCTCCTACAACTCCCACATCACCTTCATCACCGTCCACCTAGCCGTTAGCATCGCCGAGTCCAACCACCTCTCCAACCACCCGAAAATCGACCGCCTCCCTTTTCACCTCCCCCCACCAGAAATTCGAGCTCACCAACGAGGACCCGTTTTTCATTTACATGGAGCCCATCAAAACCTTCGCCCACCTTCTTTCGCCGTGTTGCTGCCACTCTACTATCATCGCCGATTTTCTGGTCACCTCCAGCCTCGTCCGTTCTCGTGCCTCCCAACTACATGTCTTCCTATATTTGCTAATCATGATCTTGGCCAGATTGTTCACCCTCATGACCAATCTCCCACGGCTAAAGCAGGATCCAACTACATGTCTTCCTATATTTGCTAATCATGATCTTGGCAAGATTGTTCACCCTCATGACCAATCTCCCACGGCTAAAGCAGGACACCAACATTGCAAAATTCGACAAGCAGCATCCTCATGTCCCTCGCTGACAGCCACTTCCTGAGATTCCTCCACGCCGATGCTCCAACGTTAGAGATCGAGAATGGAAGGTGGTGGTGAAGTTCATGAGGGTGGGGGGCATCAATTTAAAAATTTGATAAATCCCAGGGACTTAGTTGTAATTTTAAAAATTTTAATATATCGCAATTTAGTTCATGGTTTAGATTTGTAATTTAATAAAATTTGATAATTATAACTAATATTATGTGAAATGCACAATGTCACGTGTCGATATGCACATTAAAAATTCACAATTTTACCACTATGTTAATATGCTGCGAAATGCACAATAGTATTAGACAGAGAGTACATTAATGCCTGTGAAAATATACACTAGCGTAACGCATTCTACGCAATGACTAAAATACCCCGCGCAGAAAATAAAAAGTCCATATAATTGAAACAATGTCACCACCCCTTTGGCCATAGTTGTATCATTTAACTGTGCCTGGAGCGTTTGTATATCACATCCGACTGCTACTATAAATTCTTATTTGTTTCATTATGACTCATCTACTTCTCTCTCTCTCTCTCTCTCTCTCTCTCTCTCTCTCTATATATATATATATATATATAGCTATTTTTAATTGTGAAAATCGTGATAATAATATTTGATGCTATTTTTTAATATTAAATAATGCTATCATTTTCACAAATGTTAATCTAAATTGTATGTATTTTTATTAAAACACAATCGATCATAGAACTTCATACAATTAAAAATAACGGTTCTCACGCTAGGACTTGATTCTCATTTGAACNCAATTGGCAGTTACAAGCAAGGTGTGGTGTGCACACACTAATAGCTACTATCCTTTTCCACATTATATTATCACTCCAAACTCCAAATCCACATGAAAATCAAAATAGGCATTGTGTCTCTACCCCTAACTCTATTTATTCCCATCCTATTCCTATTCTATTTTAATTGCCACAATTTCTTCTACTTTTATCTTTATTACAGATATATATATATATATGTTTAATATAATCGCATGCTCTTACTTAATTGTTTTAAATTTCTGGAAAACATGACTTCTTGAGCATGTTTAGTCTTAGACTTAAATTGTGTTACCGACATGTGATGCTTTGCAGAACACCAATTTTGCATACATGCCAGATATAAAATACGTGTAGGTAAAGGACTTCGACATATCAACTGTATATCATGTTCCAAAGTAACTCAACTGTTGGTTGGCTAATTTAATTTAGGCCATAACAAGTAAATTAAATGAAGAGTAATTACCGCACCCTGTATTTTAGTTATGATTTATGATTGTATGAAATTTTTAAATCTTATTAAACCATTAACAGAGACTAATTCTCTTTATTGGCCCTCTTTAAGTGATTTTTTCACCTTGGTTTTTTGTTCCCAATGATAAAATATAAACTTCATCTGCTCCATTGTAAGTATAGTGATATCCGTAAGGTTGTTATTCGGAAAAATCTAAAAAATGTCATAACTATATAGTAGTGATATATAACCTAATTATGACCATACATTATATTTATATATATATATATATAGGGAAATTTTTTGTGATGATAAAAAAGGAATAAAATGGTAGATGAAATGAGTTGGGTTTGCTTGAAAGCCTAACGAATCTTGTTGGTTCACTACTTTTCTTCAAGTTTAAGAGTGACATTTAGTGGGGTATTGACTACATGTTAAAATCAGTTTTGACCGATTGGATAAATTTTTACACTCTTCATCTTAAAATCCAAATTAAATTTAATTTAATTCAATATCTTCAATATTATCAATATAATTAAATAATATCAATTAGTAATTCTCTCACATTACATCAGTTTCTCATCTATTCACGTCACATCACATGTTTTTAGTAGGGAGATTAGTGATTATTACTTTTGTTGCTAGTTCATCTCTTTGTTAATAAAATAAATGGATACCGCTCTGATATTAATAACAAGGTGCATGTATGTGTTAACTATTTGTACATCATAATTATATTTATGGAATAAATTTTTAATTAGTAGAATAAAGGGCAAGTATGTATCGTGTGCAAGAGTTGGAAAGGAATGTTAGTGGCTACGAGCTATGTAAGCTGTTCATTCACGAGGCCACCCTCTCTCTCCACACACTCTCACTCACATACCAAACTTACTAATATTTACAGTATAAATACACTCAGACGGTCACTACAACTATTTCACTCCACTCTCTTCCCAATTCATCCTTTCTTCTCCTTTTATTTTACCAAAAAAAAAAAGGTATAATTCAAAATTCAATCTCTAGCTGATTATTTGATTTTCAAACCATATGGAGATTCCTGGAGAAGTCATCTCCGACCAGACGATTTCCAAAAGAAAGCGCACCAAGCGGCCGAGGCCCTCATCATCATCCTCCCCTTCGTCAAGCGGTGCCGCCGATTCTAGCCGGAATTATTCATCTCCGGCGTCCTCCACCACAAGCGCCGAGGACGAGGACATGGCCAATTGCCTCATCCTTCTGGCGCGAGGCGGATCGGATTCACAAGGAAAATCTAAACCGCCGGATAATAAATCCATCGGCGGAGGGCAGATCGGGATTTACATCTACGAGTGCAAAACCTGCGGCAGGACCTTCCCATCGTTTCAGGCTTTGGGCGGCCATAGGGCGAGCCATAAGAAGCCCAATCGGAATAACTCACCGACGGCCGGAGAAGAAGGTGGATCGATTTTGTCCGCCGCCGCTGTTACTCCGCCGCAATTGATAGGTAAGGGTTTGAATACAGAGAACAAAGTGAAAATTCACGAGTGCTCCATCTGCGGATCTGAATTCGGGTCGGGTCAGGCGCTGGGCGGCCACATGAGGAAACACAGGGCCGCGAGCAATTACGGCAACGCTAACAAAAGCGCCAATGACTGCGAGTCGTCTCTGGATGAAATTGGTGGGAGAGCAGGGAACGTGGCGGCGGCTGTGGATTTCGATCTCAATCTGCCGGCGCCGGAGGAGGAGGACCACGGCGGGGCGGATTTCGACGGCCGATTTCCGTCAGGTCAGCTCGTGTTCTCCGCGGCGGCGCTGGTGGGGTGCCACTACTGAACACCGCGAGAGTTTTTTTGGGGCTGACATATTTTCTCGTGTGAATAAATAATAACAATAATAATGATAATAATAATAGACTTTTTTTTCCCACAGTGTTTTACAGTAAATTTGTTTATATAAATATTCTTACTCCATTCTTTTTGCTTTTCATTAATTATTATTTTCAAACACGGCGATTTTTTTTTTATTTCTTTTTATTTTATTGGCGTGAGTTGAGTTGTTTTGAGTAAACAAGTGGAGTGTATAGATGGATGCCTTTGATTCACGAAAAGTGAGTGAGGACGTTATTTTTTCTTTCTTTTTATGTAGTGTGTAGTGTAGTGTAGTGATGGTAATGGTATTCCTTTTTGTTATCTGCAAGCAATTTCAGTTCATGTTCTATGCCACAACTAATATTACTTTTTCACATTAATTTTTTTTTTTTTTATAGTAATATACTATGAGTCCAATTTTAGTAAGTATATTTCACAAGATATGTATATGGATGGTTGAAATTTATTTATGAAAATAAAATAATGGAAAGTGGAGTTGGATTCATATAATCATATTATCTGTTCCCATTAAGTGACAAAACTTGATGGATAGGAATAAGATGGGTTTGTAACTGCCAATCCCATGTGTGTGAACCTGTATGTATATAGTTATTGCCTATTTATTATTTTAAATATNAAAAAAAAAAAAAAAAAAAAAAATCAAATAAGAAAACACAAACAGGTAACTGGCAATGTTATTGTTAGGTACTTAGACGCTCATGTTAATATATGCACAACACTGTTGTCTTACTAATTCTATGTGGTATTTTGGTGATAGTTGCAATAGCTGCCTCCAAATAACCTATAAAACAAAAAATAAATAAATAAATAAAAGCCTCCTTCAGATTTGAACCCGCCTTACATTTATTTAACCCACCTGGTAATTATAGTTAATATTCAATAATATGAATTATTTTGACAAGTATGACCATCTCAACAGCATTTGTATTTGTCAAAATAATATATCAAAATTGTCATTCTAATATTGTAACCGTTAGGGTGCTTGAAATGAACATTTTTAGTTCTATTTAATGTGTGTTCAGTTCTGAAAGATAGTTTTCATACTTTACAAATGAGCCAAACACCTTAATAGAAACGGAAAATTCACATCTAGCTAAGTGTCATTAACAAAGGTAATTAATGTAGTTTGTGGTGATTAAGCAAAGAGACTAAGGGTAGGCATGTGGACACATTGCGTGAGAATGTCTTAAGTAGAAGGAAAAAGTGGTGAGAGGTTAGAGGGATTCTTTCAAATGGAGCACATGTAAATGTGTTTGGGTGCTAATTGCTGCCCTGTCAAATTAATTAGGCATATATACATATATATATATATTCTCTCCCTTTGGATCATGTTCATTGAACTCGTGATAAAACAAACAAATGCCAAAAGGACTTTCTATTTTGAATTAGTTGTTCTACTGCCTAATTATCATTAAATCTGAATTGATGTGATATATAGGACAAAACCATTAAACAAAGAGCAAACTTTATTTTATACAAAAAAATGGTGAAGAAAGATATGCCAATCTCACTTAATAAGCATATAATATAATGTATTGTCCTAAGTCTAACCTTTGATGATCATTATCTTTTTTTATATATATAACATGGCTAAGGCCAACTTAAAAGTTCAAAATCAAACATGATAGCATCAAAAAAGTTGGAAAATAGTAGAACAAGTGCACGTTCAGATACATATAAGTCAAGTTACTATTAAGAAAACTTAATTGGCTATATTTCTAACATGGTTGTCTATAGTTACGCTTCCCTCCAATTTAGAGAAAAAAAAAAAGGAAAAAAGAAAAAAATTCCCACCAAAGCTTTGGAAAGTAGACGCACAGGACANTTAATTATTGATAATAAACAATATTATAATCATCTGTATGCAACGTGTGATTAATTGCCCTGTTCCACCCCTAAGCCTACACTTACATAACACATTTTTTCCCTCGCCGGCCATTCAAAGTAGCAAGTTCATTGATAAGACACAAGACTGTTTACAAACATGTTGAAAAATATTATTATTACCATTATTATTATTATTATTATTATTATTATTATTATTAAAATGAAAATATAAGAAGAGTGGTTTTGTCACTTTCTCAAAAATCAAATTGGTTTGCAAACGCCTACAAGCCTTTTTCTTTATTTTGATTCTCATAAAATCTTGTGTGTTTATTCTAGAAATACTATTGAAGTTTCTACAGCAGCTTCATTTTGATTTACTCAAATAAAATCTTGTGTGCTTATTCTAGATATACTATTGAAGTTTCTACACCAGCTTTTTACGCAACAATTGTTGCAATAAGACTTGTGAGAAGCTCCAAATTAATTAAATAATGGAAATGGACTTAGTTTATTAGTCATCGAGTTACTCCTCATATAGCTAGTTGATTTTGAGATAAAATCTCACTACAATAACAACTGCTGTTCAGAATAGTTTCGGTTCGGTTTTCAAAACAGTTTAAAATTCTTCGAGTCTCATGCTCGGAGTAATATATATAAAGCTAACAAAGAGAAAAAAATAATAAATAAAAAAGTCCACCTTTTCTTTTCTGTAGCAATTTAATGCTTTGAGGAATTAGTAGTAGATTCTCTTAAGATATGGATGAAATAAACAAAAGAGGACCTAAAAGTGAGTAAAGTTGACTTATAAGGTTATGGCATGCAACCTGTCCAATGTTGTAGGTTGTGCCAAACCACAAGTACTTTAACTAATTCATTCTAATCAATGGTCCCTTCAAAATAATCTGCAATATGCCAAAAATAATCTGCAATATGCCAGAAATTTTAATTATGTGTAGTACTATAATTAGCTACATTTGATTACATATGATGCAATTTTTAATTAAAATTTATGTAAATAAAAATAGCAACAGGTGTATAATATCATTTGTGTAAATAAAAGCACTATGTAATTAATATTAAAATTAACATCATACATAATTAAAAATAATATTATATTCACTTCTCATGTTTATCACACCATAACTTGTTTTCATTTGAAAATAATAGCACTATGTAATATTAAAAATCACATCATATACAATTGAAAATAACATTATATGCTTTTCTCATGGTTCTCACAACAGTGGGGAGGATTAGTGTAATTATTGTTTTGGCTTGTCCAAAAAGAATAAAACATCAGTAGTAATATGAGCTGGTAGAGTAAGAACATCAAAAAGTATTAGGTAAAGTATATAATCTTTTCCCTTAGTACACAATAATTGGATATCATGTTCACCACTTCTAACATTTGAGCATTACTTAATGTTGCACCAAAGATTCTTGCTTTACCAGCAACTACACACACACATAGTGGGATTAAAAGAGTGATAAAGTCAAGGTCATAATACTTAAGTACACTTGCCAACTAGTTTTGAGTTTTTGCCAACTTTAAAAACAAGAGTGCTTGCCTACTAGCTGTCAAATATGAGTATTCATATAGAAGTTGAGAAGCACTTTTTCTGAAAGTTAACACTCTTGGAACAAAACAAAAATACTAACACCTACACCAAAATTGAGCAAGTGTGGCTTCAAACTGTCAAAATCAGTTTCACATAATTGCAGCTGTCATGTTTCAAACAAATCCAAAATTGATCGAATACAACTACATAAGCCAAGGTTTGGAATAAGCGTTCTCGTTTAATAACTGAATACATTAACAAATACCTTATACATACCAAGCCTCGCCATATATCAACATTTGTTTGACGAAATCCTACATAAGAACCAAAAATAGTGAATAAAATATATTTGGATATACAATTATACATTCAGATATATGAATATGCCTGCATGGTATTGAAAACTTCAGTGGCACAAGCTAGTTATATATTTCTCAATTCAAATCATACAAGACCTCTATAAGTTCTACAAATGTTAAATCAGCAATTAATGTTCTAACAAGGCCTGAAAGAGGTGTGGCCTTTCATTGTAAACTTGAGAATTGATAAAAGCAAGCCTAGCCACTAATCATGCGACGGTGAATAATTACTAACGGTGGTGAATTATTCCCGTTACGTGCAAACGAGAAGGAACTTCAACTTTACAAAAGCATGTGATTCATAATCTCAATTATTTTTTTTTAAATTGTTATAACTTTATCAGACAAATATGGAGTAACTCTCAGAGATGGTGGATCATGCTCTGTAAAAATGTTTAATTGAAGCAAACTACAGAAACATGACTAGTTTTTAAGAATTTCTTAAAGAAAAATAAGAATATCTAATAAATTATAAATCTATGAAGTGTTTGAAAACACTGCTCTTTAAGATGAAGTGGTTTATATTTGAGAGGAAGGCCCAAGATCTCGTTCAGAATCAGAAGTTGGTAATGAATATATATAAGGTAACATTGATTATATAAAGGCTTGCTGGGCCTGTTTACAAAGTGTTTCATTTTTTGTGTGAAAAAAACCTCTGCCCCTTCATTGAAATTCTGTAAGAGAAATCGAGCCAAAAAGAGAAAAGTTGGTATTTGCAACAACAAAAATGTGGTTTATTTTTTCCAGCTATAACTGAAGAATATAACTATTTTAAGTACTTGGTCCTGTCACTGGAAGTCTAGGCCAAGTTCAGTATAAGTCTCTAGTTTAAGACAGGCTAATTTTATCCAAACAAGCCCAAAGTTAAATCAGCTCCATATTTTAAAAAGCAAATTTGTAAATTTGACAGCCTAACTCAAATAATGATTCCAGTGACCAATTAATCACACAACGGGGAAGTACTTATTACAATACACACCACATAACAAAAAAACAAAAAACAAAAAAACAAAAAAAAGGAGAGAAATTAAAAGGAAGGACCTTGTCCGAGTTACTTTAGAGAATGCTTTTTCTCAGTTAGCATACACGGTCAACCTCACTCGAGCTGTAACTTCTGGATGGAGCTTTATCTCTGCAACATATTCCCCGACTTCTCTAATATCAGGAAGAGAAACAAGTCTTTTGTCCACATCCCTACAAAAAAAAAAAAACATGAAATGTGTTAACTGCAGGTTTACTAAAATATATTTTTCACACACTCCAGAAAAGCTAAAGTGCAACCTTTTTGACAGTTCAAAAATTGACCAAACAAACTTTCAGTCAAATAGCAACCAGAAAAATATGCATGACATGGTTTCGTGAACTTAACCCACCTAATAATATATTTCGTATGATTTTGCAAACAACGTATGCTCACATATCATAAAAGGTCTGCAATATCAATAATAATGAAGGATTTGAAGGTTTATAAGAACGAAACACTCTCCGACCCAAAAAGTGTAAACATAAGGAGTACGGTCAGCAATATATGATGAAACCAATCCATAAGGCACAGTGAAACCTAAAAAATCAATTCATACTCCATAATTTGTAATGATTTGGAGATTTTCTCACAAGACACGAATGAGAATAAATTGGAAATTTGAGACAAACAGTACCTCTGGAGCTGGGCCTTGATTATGTCAACAAGATCTTGAACTGTGACACTGACATCATATGTATACATCAGCCGTTGGGTTCAATATATACATATATATAAATAGGAAAATCTTGTTGCATGTTATGCAAAACTCGACTTAAGTTGCCAACCTTCCAAAAATTTGTTTTCCCTTCCCACCCTTTCGCTTCACCTTGAAAGCTCCAACTGTCTGGAAAACACGAGCAAGCTGTTGTGCCTCTTCTTTCACCTAAAGACAAGATTACAATAGGAAAGTAACCACATGTTGTAAAGCCACATACTCCACAAGAGTTTCAAGAAAATGTAACTCCGCTAAAATCAGGCAAGGGAACACGATTGATGGTTCAGTCTAACTACGAGAACTAATGGAATACAGACAATGTACATCATGCAGCTAGGAATAATACAGTTATATTCTGGAATTGGTGGAGAATTGACAAAACCAAGTCAATAAGTTAATAATGACGGACCAATAATCAAAGATCCCACCTTTTCATCCCCTACTTTTACAGTAAAGCAGTAAAAAATTACTTTTCAGGTATTCGGATGAGTTTATAAGTAACTACATGATAATAATTTAAAAAATTTAATGTTATGTGGAACTAGCTAAAGACATGTAACGACAATATTGAAAGGCACATAAGTAAATCGCTTTCGTAATAGAATGACTTGAGCACGTATATATACATATTGAAATTTACCCTCAAGACATGTTACCATTCAGATATGAGGTTTGAAATCAATATACATTATAAATGAAAATCTGGAAATGGGTCGAACACTCGAACTCCTTACACGTTTTTTCTCTGCCTCAATTCTCTCCTCCTCCATCTTCATTTCCCTGATGAAGAATTAAAAAAAAAAAAAGAAAATAAAATGATAAATTGAGCTCTAAATGCCAATAATCATATCATGAGAGCTCATTCTTGTGTTCACAAGAGAGGTAATAAAACTATTCACCGTGTGTCCTCAACTTATAACTATCTTACAATAACACTAAGCCTGCAACCCTACTATACAAGGTCGGCTATGATTTCAGAAAACGGCCATTATCAAGTAAACTATTGTCAGCTCCTCACATTTTTTATCAACAAAAGCGCATTGTTTTTGGGGTTGAAATCGATTGGGGCAAAAAAAAAAAAGAGGAACCCATCAAAGTAAATTACAATTAACAGCAAAAGGACAGATAATTACTTGAGAAGTTCAGGAGTCGCGATTTGGGCCATGCCCATTGGCAGCAGATAATTCCTAAGGTATCCAGCTCTCACCTTCGTCAGCTGCCCCTTTTTCCCCACTTTCGACACGTCCTCCTTCAATATAACCTGAACCCAAATGAAATGATAACAAGTCGAACAGAATTTAAAACTAAAATAAAATAAAATATTAAAGTAGCAGCACCATTTCTAGAGTAAAGGATTTCACATAACCTTGTGAAATTTCTTGACTTTCTTTTGAGCAACAACAGTCAAAAGTGGGACTCTAACAGAACCTCTCATTGTCTCTGAGCTCGCATTGTCTGAGAAGCTGCGATTTTGAAACCATAGAGACGAAGCCCATGAGGATGAGAGACTCGTAGAAGCCATTGCCATGATGTGCACTCTCACCTTCGACTATGATTTTACCCTTCTTTCGTTGCTTTTGTGCGCACTAAAATACCCACTTCAAATCTTATCCGTCTGCCGATTGATAGATGGAGAGAAGGGAAATAAAGATCGACTACATATATATTTTAATTCGAGTTTGTAACTTAAAAAACTTTTTTTAAATTTTATTTTAACAATATATTAGTCTCTTTTTTTTTTCTTTTTTTCCTAAACCCATAAATTATATTATAAATCAAAATACACAAATGTGCGAATACACTGCAGCCAACGACTGAATACACAGCAGCCAACAGTTGAAAAAAGTGGGAGGACAGGTCAGAAGACCGCTTAGAGTCCGGACTAGCAACGCTAGAATAAAGATCGCAACTAAAACTAACCAACTAAAACAACTAACAACTAAAAAGACCCCAACAGAGTAATACCAGAGTGTCGGATTCCAATGGGATAATAAGGTGACATACGGGCTCACAGAGGCCAAACGGCCCATACCAAAAACACAATAAAAAACAGAAAAAACAGAGACACAGACCAACAATAAATTAAAAAACGAAAACAAGACAGAGGGCACAGCCTCCCCGCCAAAATATATCTATATTTACGGCAGACAAACCAACTCCACAGGCAGCTCCAAAGCACGGAAAGAACCGCCCCCCACTGCAGAAGGCCTAGCAAGACGGAATCCGCACCCCAGGACCAACCGAAGAGCTGGCCCGCACTCCAATCACGAGAAGCAACAATCACGCTTCAACCCAGCCCGAAACAGCTGAACACAGCCAATCGACCGAGCCCTAACCGGAAACAACAACCTGGCTCCAGCAGTGATTACGATCACCAACCGTGGACCCCCAAATCCCACTCGCCAAGAAGCCCACCGATTACGGACAAAATAGAAAACTGAGACAAAAGCAGCAAAATCGAGGGCATACCTCTAATTGTACTTATTTTAAAATATATATGTGTTTTTTTAAACATAAATAATAATTGCACTTATTCTTATTCATCATAATACTTAAATATTATTTTATTTTAAAAAATTAATTTCATATAGTTTCATTATTATTAGTTATAGCACTTACAAAAGTATTATTTTTATATATAATAATAAGTATTTAATTTATATTAATATTATTTATTGATGTAATTAATGTAAAAATATATAAATAAATTTAAAATAAATATTGTGTCATATATTCATTCTATTCAGTTTTCAGAATTTATCATATCTCATAATAATTAAAAATAAAATCATATAAATACGATTTTATGACAATATTAAATATATTAAGCCTAATATTTTATTTGTTCCTTGTAGTAGATACTTTTTCATGATGTGGTAGATTATATGGAAATTAAGATAAAATTAAATGTATCCAACAAAATTTGTATGTGATATTTTCTTTTAAATGTTTAAATTTAATTTTTTTCTAAAATTTTCAAAAACACATTTAGGCAGGATATTTTAAAAGTTTCCAAAAACACTACTATGTTTATTGTTTAGTACATATTTAGGCGGGATTCCTAATTATTTTTGGATTGTCTACTTATATAATAGATATTCACGAACAGTCAAATAAATTCAGATAAACATAGTATGCATGATTTATTTACATACTAAGTCTTGAACAGCCAAACAAAACTCAAATTTATAAACGATTTTAAAATAATAACAAAATCCTTTATAGATGGAACCGGATTTGAAGCGAAATTTTTATAGAAATTTTGTACCATAAATAACTAATTAAAATATGTATCATACAAATTTAAAAGCATGTATATCGGTAACTCACAAACCTCTAACAGAAATCATTAATCACATTTCTTTTTAAAAGCATGTATTTCAAATGTTCAGTTTGAAGTCAAACTCTTAATCACATTTTGAAATAATAAACTAATTGAAAGTATAAATCTATTAAATAGCAAAGAATATATTTTGGTAATTGAAAGCATTTATTTCGGTTTCTTTTGGTGTTATTAAATTGTCTATATATAGTATGTCAAATGAATTATTATTTGGTCAAAAGTTACTATAAATGATTTAAACAACAACCTTTTTATATATAAATAGATTTCTAATACGTGAGACAATAATGATAAATTATATAAATTAGAGTAATAAAAGAATATTATTTAGTACAAAAATAGTTTTGAATACCAATATTAATTTTTTAACTTTTACTTTATGTTTATGATATGTAACAGTTTGATATATGAATTATATACTTATTTCACCAGTTATAAAGTACTTTCCTTTTTAGAGTTCATATTTAGTTTATTCTCCTGTTGGGAGCTTACACTCAGATATTACCTTGTTGGGGTCCTTTATGTTTTGTTTTGTTGGGTTTCTAGGTTTGGTTGGTTTTGTAGTGTGCTCGTATTGCTAGCGTTGCTAGCTGGTATTCCGTCTAGGTTACATTAGTTGTGGGTGTAACCTCTCATATTCCCCGACTTCGGGCTCGTTTGTGTACATTGCCTTTTAGGCTTTTTTTTTATGAGAAATTTTTTATCTCTTCTCTTATATCTTATTACAGTATATTATTTTGATTCATAAACAAATGGTGGTAAAGTTGAAAAATTGAGACAATGTTAGAAACTGACAATTAAAGTTGACATTGTTCAGTCGACTTCCCGAAAGTCGACATCTATCCAAGAAAACCAACAAGAGCGTAGCCTCCGAATAACCAAGAAATCCTGGGTCGACTCGTTTATACTCGAGGTCGACTCCTTGTACCTCGACACGAGAGGCATTCCGACGATTCCATACACTTGGTATATTTCTTGGGACCTCTTGACCATTAATGGATAAGAAGGAATCTTGGGATGACTCAGCAATGAGGGGAGGCGAATCGACTGGGGCATTTTGGACCTTTCGGGTCCACCGACTTGGGCATTTCGGGTACTTCAGGTAAGTATTCACTCCTATATAAAGGAGATGAGGTAACCCTAAACCTAACTGTCATTCATTCCACACTCCCCTCATAGTTGCTGCGCAGCATCCCTTCATCACTCTCATACTGACTTGAGCGTCGGAGGCTCTACGCCGGAAACACCTCCGGCGTTGAGTTTTTGCAGGTATTCTCGCGGTCTAGCAACGATTCAGAGGCGGTTCAAGCAGATCTGAGCTCAAATCCACCGGTTCTCTTCAGATCTAGAAGTAGACCCATCAGAAACAATCACTGCATTCAATCATATGCAAATTCAATCGCCATTTCCTACATACTTCCACAGTAATATACATTTTTTCAATAAAACTTTCGAAGAACTCTCTCGCTTTGCCGATTTGCTGGTGTCTCATTTATTTACTGCATATTTGTTTTCTTATTTTGTGTGACTCCGTTTGTATTCTCTTCAATTTTCTGTCGTTAAGCACATAACAAATTACATTGTAACTCTCGATTTAATTACCCAAATAATATCAACCGTAACCGTTGGTGGTAGACCGTCAACATTTTTAATCATCGAAAGAAATAATATAAATATCATGCACGGATTTAACTCAATGCATTCTTTAAAAGTTTATAGAAAAAAAAATTAAATCTTAAAAAATATTAACTGAAAAGAAAATTTCAAATAAAATGCTACATATAAGAGTAGTGATAGGTATAGAATTAATTTTTTAAATATAGAACTTTACAATTTTGTTACAAGTATGTTTATTAAGTTCTCTTTCACTACAATGTATTCATTATTGAAAGTTTTGACCATTTTAAAAATGCCCATTTGGAAAATATAAAAACAATTGTTAACATGCGGGACCAACCAATATATATGCAATATCTCATACAATGAAAAGTTTCATAATTAATATATATATAACATTATATATTTTATATAATTGAATTTAAACTTAATTAAATTTCATGTTTAAGCACAACACAGAATACTGTAATAATTGAAAACGGACGGAAGATATAATTATAAATAAACTTTTAATTTAATTTCATGTTTAAGCATAACACAGTCACACAATACTAATAATTGAAAAACGACGGAAGAAGCAAGCAAGCACCAAATTTTCACAGAAACCCGCGCGTGGCAAAGGAGAAAATTTGCCGCAATGCAGAAAATGGTATTACCACACGCCATTTCCCGCCTTTTGTATAACCGAATCCACACCGTTGATCACTACCTTTATCAATGGACCTGTACAGAGTCCGCCCCAACTAATTCTAACCAATCAAAACAAGCCACCTGCCCAAAAAATCGGATCGTCAAAACTCCGCACTACTACCCTCAAATCTCAATCAACGGTTCAGATCAACGATCCGCTTCACCTTAACTGAACCAATCAGATTCCACCCTTTTCCCTATTTATTCCAACCCTTCTATCTTCCCTTTTACGTTTCAATTTCTCTGCAAATTCCCAAAGCGCATAACAGCAAAAAAATATACAAATTAACCATCTCTACAATGGCACCAAAGGCAGAAAAGAAGCCCGCCGAAAAGAAGCCAGCAGAGGAGAAGAAGACGACGGTTGCTGAGAAGGCCCCAGCGGAGAAGAAGCCCAAGGCCGGGAAGAAGCTCCCGAAGGACGGCGGTGCCGCCGCCGGTGAGAAGAAGAAGAAGAGGGCGAAGAGGAGTGTGGAGACCTACAAAATCTACATCTTCAAGGTCCTGAAGCAGGTCCATCCCGACATCGGGATCTCGAGCAAGGCCATGGGAATCATGAACAGCTTCATCAACGACATTTTCGAGAAGCTCGCCCAGGAGGCGTCGAAGCTCGCGAGGTACAACAAGAAGCCGACCATCACTTCTCGGGAGATCCAGACGGCGGTGAGGTTGGTGCTGCCAGGTGAGCTTGCGAAGCACGCTGTTTCGGAGGGGACCAAGGCTGTGACTAAATTTACTAGCTCTTAGGGTTTGTGATTTGGGGTTCTTGTTTTGATTTGTCTGGATAGTAGTGATTTTGAAGCTTATATGTAAAGCTGGTTATTTTGGTAATATTTTTGTGGTTTTCTTAATATGGGGTTCTGTGATTCGTCTTCTCTGAAAAAAAAAGCTGCTGATGAATGAATTTGAAGTTAGTTGTTACTGATAAATTGTATTTACATGTTTCGTTCAGCATTTTTGTGTGTAACTTGATGAATTCTGAAATTTTAAATATATATCTGTTTAAGGTTTGGCTTTTATATATCAATATTTCAAATTTGTGGGTAATTTTAATTTTTGTACGTTTTTTATGTTGCTGTATTTTGTTTAATGCTGGATGTTTGTTTTAATGGGAGTAAAGAAGGCCAAAGTAGAAGAAATTATTAGATGGTTAAAGGTTTTAGCGAAAGCCATTAGCATTCTATTTTCTATCAGATGCAGTATTTGAAATGTTTGTTTAATTTCTATGTAAATGTTAATTGGACTAAATTTGTAACCAAGTCAAATAACATAATACATAATCACACACAGCCTATTCCATTTAATTTTTTCTTTTTGTGGTATAGCTACATGTATAGATCTCACTAACAGCATAATTCTGCTCACCACTCAACTAGGAATGTATTCGTAATTTGCAGATGCCCCCAGCTGTTGAGGCAAAACTAATGGCTGCACCATTTACAAGCTTCTGCAGTCCTGAAACGAGTTGTATGCATTTCTACATGATAAGCATTTTAATGTCAAAATTTAAGTTATTACAATATACATAACCAATATCAATTTTATCCACATTCAAAGCTTTATTCTTGTATAAGAGGCTACAACATTTGCGCTTATGAAAAGTATTTAGGCCATCTCCAGCCCTTATCTCTACTCTAGCGCGGACTTTACTCTACTCTAGAGTAGAGTTGAACATTCATCTCCAGCCCTTATCTCTACATTTTACTCTACATTAAATATATTATTTTTTTATTCATTTTTTATTTCAAATAAATTGGTATATATGTATATTTAATCTTATATAAAATGTTAATTACTCAAATAATAAAAATATATTTTATTTATTTTTATTTCGAATAATTTGCTATATATATGAATATGTAATATTATATAAATGTTTGTACCCAAATAGTAATAAAAAACACAAAATTATTTAGCATAAAAAATACATTACACAAATTATTTAGCATAAAAAATACATTTACTAATACACATTATACAAATTTACACACTAGACCATATATGGTTTAGACCATATATGAATTAGTGCAAATTTACACACTAGACCATGTATGGTTTAGAGCATAAAAAAACAAAAAATTATTTATAGTCATATTATTTGTCAAATTATTTATCACATATTAATATATTACAATAGTATACAACTATACAACAATATATATATCATGATTATTTTATTTACAAAATTATATTCCACAAATATTTTTATAATGTTTGCAAAGAACATACAAACAATATATATAGATATCAATATTAGTTTGTTTAATATAATATATTTAATAGTATTTTATAATGTTGGAAATTAGGACAATGTTATTATATATATGTTTTTATATGATTTCAATACATTTCATACGTAAAAAAAAAAAAAAAGAAAAAAAAGAGAACAAAAATGTAGCGTTAGGTGAATAGTGTAGCGCCACATCTGGCGCTGCACTGTAGATTTATCTGAAATAGCGTCAAGATGTGGTGCTGCGTTGGAGCCCAATATTACCACAACTCTAGCGTAATACTCTACTCCAACGCAGCATTGGAATTGGTCTTACAGTTTTCATGACTTTTCACATAATACCTTATGGTATGCAAAGTCAAATGTGATACTTTCCATAACTAAAAATCAAAATTGCTGGTGATATTTTCCAATACCTATAAATACCTATTTGAGTGGACCATTTAGAAGACATTTATTTGAGATAAAATATAACAGAATTCATTTTCATCTTGCTTTCATTATTTATTCTTCATTTTTTGAGATATCTATAAACAAGTAAATTTATAAAAATATTGTGCATCTCAGTTTCCATTATACACAAATAAATGTCGTTGTATTTTAGAGACGGTTGTCGATAACTATGAGTACTAATTGGCGACATTTCTTTTTTACAAAAAATATATTTCACGTGCCTCGATTTTGTTTAATTAAAGGATTTCTTTTGTTGAATTTGTTGATTTCGAGTTAGTTGATTCTAAGATTTTTCGTGATCCCCTTTGTGCCATTGGCTGCCATATATATTCACGAGAAAGATAAATATATGCACATATATCCATCACTATTCCATTTCTTTATTTGTCATTAATATTCGTAGAATTATTATTTTTGTTTGTGATATGAAACATATTCTCAAGATGAGTCTAATCAGTAATCAATTCTTACGTTCCAACCATTTTTGTGTGAACATTTTGTAAATGACTGCAAATATATATGATAAATCAAATTAGATGAATAATAGACAAGATCCCAAAACCATGTTTAATTGTGGCTCGGAAAATTTTGGTCAGTTTTATCAAATGAGAAAATTTTTGAATCTTTACCAACACTTTGGGCGAAAAATGGCGTGTTAAGAAAAAAGACCACGAGAGCCAACACAAATAAGTTTGCTCCTAACATTTTTTATTTCACGTTTTTTTGGATCTTTTTTTTTTTTATTTTTTATTTATTTATTTAATTTTGATTTT